ATCTGGTGCACGAGTAGGCCGAGGCAGCAGCTAAAAGGGACTTTTTCCTCTGTTTAGTCAGAAAACCCAAAGAAGACAATGAGGGGACACCTCCAGCAGCAGCAACAGGTCGTCGTCTGCTGCTGCAGCAGCAGCAGCAGATGATCTGGTGCACGAGTAGGCCGAGGCAGCAGCTAAAAGGGACTTTTTCCTCTGTTTAGTCAACTGTCTCTTCTTTTTTAAGTGTCTTCTCCTTTAAGAGACACAGAATCCATAACAGCAGCAGGAGCAGCAGTTCTGCTGCTGCTGCTGCTGCTGCTGTTGAACCTGGCAGCAGCAACAGTGCCTGCACGTGCGTGAAAACCTCATATGACCCCGCAACATGCTGCTCTCAGGAGACAGAAGCAGCAGCACGAACAGTAGCAGCAGCAGCAGCACTGTCCCCTCGCTACTGTCTCCTCCGTACTGCATCCTAAGGGCTGCCGTTTACTGCCCACACTAACCATGTAGCCCTCTAGGGTTTAGGGTTTAGGGCTACCCATAGATCTGCTAGGTAGGGTTTTAGTATTCCCCATGAGGGTTTAGGGCCCACGGAGCAAGGTTCAGGGTTCATACTTTAGGGTTTAGGGCCACAGACATTAGTGTTTAGAGTTTATACTTTAGGGTTTTAGGGTTTAGGGTTTAGCAATCTAACTTTTGCGGGGCCCGTAAGCATAGCCTGCCCAGGGCCGAGATTCTCCTCAAAGCCTTCGATTCCGTCTTCCACACACACCCCTGCAGCAGCAGAAGCAGCACCATCAGCAGCAGAAGCAGCAGCAACAGCAGCAACAGCAGGATCAACAATTACTGAGCTGTTAAACAGGCCCGTGGTTTTTAAAAGAGACGAAACCCTAAACCCTAAACCCCAAACCCCAGGTGCAAGACTTGCCTCCTCATCTTCTTCGTCGATTGGGCGCTGCATTGAAATATTGCAGAAGGCTGCAGCAGCTCGAGCAACCACTCCTGCAGGTGCAACAGCAACAAAGGGTTAAGGGTTTAGGGTTTAGTCTTTGGGCTTTAGGGTTTAGGGTTTAGGGTTTAGGGTTTAGGGTTGCGACTCCCATGGCTCACTCGGTGGGATAGTCTCTGCATGCATCATACTAAGACTAGGAGGGTCTCCTTGTAACCCTGCAGCAGCAGGCAAAACACCAAACCCTAAACCCTAAACCTTAAACCCTAGACTACAAGCACTAAAACCTAGGCACTCGATCTCACCTGCTCGCAGCGTGAAGAGGGGAACAAGCCGGCATATGCGCCTGTCAGGGACCCGTGCTGGTGCTCCAGTTTGGTGCTGCTGCTGCTGCCGGGCAGCAGCAAGGTGCTGCAGCAGCACGAGACCTGTCTCACAGTTGAGCCTCTCCAGTCGATGCGCTAACACAGGATGTGCAGAGCTTATTGTCCAGATGCCCTATACGGAAGCAGAAGGGTTTAGGGTTTAGCGTTTAGGGCTCAGAGATTCTTTGCTCCTTAAGCAGATCCAGCCTAGCAGACGTCGGGTTCGACGCGTTTAGGGTTTAGGGTTTAGGGTTTACCTGTATGCACTTGGATTGAAGAACGCACATCTTAAGTGCCCCGTACAGCAGTGCTTGGCCATCCGCTGCAGAGGCCAAACGAAACCCCTAAACCCTAAACCCTAAACCCTAGAGTGTAGCTGTTCCATTTCATTGCAGCAAAGGAAGTGCAGGAAGGGTTTATAGGGTTTGCTCTCTGCTTGAGTTCACGATGAGCTCACGATGTCTTGTGCCGACACCCTGCAGAGACAACCCATAGAGAACAAACCCTAAACCCTAAACCCTAAACCCTAAACCCTAAACCCTACCGTCCCCTATTAAAATATGCTGAGCAAAAGGACTAACTCACGAAGTCATCCATAAGAAGAAGAGTGTTTTCAAGTCCGTCTCTGCATACAATCATAGACATCTATTTTAATGTATCAGCTTGAATGCCTAAGGTGTAGGGTTTAGGGTTTAGGGTTTACAGTCGTGAGGGAGTTAGCGAGACTCTGCAGTACCAACCGACCCAGCAGCAGCTAGACGTCAAGCGACAGCAGCAGAAGAAGAAGCAGCAGCAAAGGAAACAGCAGCAGCGGAAACAGCAGCAGCAGCAGCAACAGCAGCTCAAGTGGGGTGTCACTTGAGTATTTGTTTTAGGCGGAAGAGTTCGCAGTGAAAGCTCGACAGGGTTGGCACTACGCCTTCGCATGCTGCAAAAAACCCTAAACCCTAAGCCCTAAACCCTTATTCCTGCATGCATGCTCTGCTGGTATTCTCCAACACAGCCCCCAAACCACTGTCTTCATCTGGTTGGGGTTTGAGTCTCAGTTGTAATGTAAAGAAGACACAGCACACAATCTAGGGCTTAGGGTTTAGGGTTTAGGGTTTGTACACGAGGAGCTCCAACGAATCTTGCGGATTCGGCCGAAGGCAGCAAATGCTGCAGGAACCCTCGACCCAATATGCGCCAGGTGTACAGCAACTCCAATTACGCGAAGCAAGGCTGCAGCAGCAGCAGCAGCAGCAGTAGCAGCAGCAGTAGCAGCAGCAATAGCAGCTGTAATAGGAGCAGTAGTTGCAGCAGCAGTAGCAGCAACAGTTGCAAAACCATTAGCACCAGCAGTAGCAGCAGCAGGCCCAATCAACCAAGCCACAGGGCAGCAGCAATATCTATATCTGCTGCTGTGCTGCTGCTGCTGCTGCTGCAGTGTCCCTCTTACTCGATTTGCCACAGCCGTTATGGCCTAACCCACAGAGCAGCACACGCACTAGGAAACTGCAAACCGAACAATTAGGGTTTAGGGTTTAGGGTTTAGGGTTTAGGTTTTTGGCCTGCGCTTAAGGACTCGGCGAAACCCTAGGGTTTGTGGCCTGTGGTTCCTACCAGATACTACAGCAGACTGCAGCACAGCCAAGCAGCAGATACAGCAACAGGCCATGCAGGGGATTAGGGTTTAGGGTTTATATTCTGCTGTTTCTATACATCAGCAATTTATTTTGCATGCGCCTGTAGGAACGCGTGGAGGCTGGGGGACCTCGAGAAGGAGAATCTTGCTACATGGTGCTCCGCGTTAGGGTTTACGGTTTAGGGTTTAGGGTATTACTTGTCTATGAAGAAGCTTGAAGGAGAAAGGCATAAAACCCTCATTGCTGCTTAATGTTTGTTGGCAGCGCCGCAGATGGATGAGGGGCCCCCCTCTAAACACCGGGAAGCTCCAAGACGGGTCTTCCTGGGGTCGCCCCCACACCCACAAAACCTAAACCCTAAACCCTAAACCCTAAACGCTGGATTCGATGAGCCTTGATGGCGTCTGCATGGGGCCGTCAGACTCACCGACAAACGCGCTAAGGCTAGGAACGCATCCAATTCTCCTATTGCAGCTTCTGTGCAGCAGCAGCAGCAACAAGGGAAGCAGCAACAGCAGCAACATGAGCAGCAGCAGCGGCTGTTGCACTATGTCATTAGCAAGGCTCGCAACAACAGTGCAGAAGCAATGCCTACTGCCCAGAATTGGATAGGGTCTTGAATTTTCTGGGTCTAGCTAGGGTTTAGGGTTTAGGGTTTACGAGCCGGGGTGAAGTGGTAAAGATGTTTTGAAACTTCTTTAGAGAGGGCTCTCGCGGCATTCCAACGATACCAATGCAACTGCCTATGAGGGTTTTCCAAGTCTGCGCATACATCTAGGGTTTAGGGTTTAGGGTTTAGGGTTTAGGTATGATGGGGCACCCGAACAGCAGTTTATTCGTCCCATTCAATACTGACGACCTAGGTAGGTGAGCAAACCCCGCATGCTAAAATTCAAACCGTAAACCCATAACCCTAAACACTAATGTCTAAACTCTAAACCCTAAACTCTAGACCCCAGTAAGGTGAATAAAGCACCACTCCAACTGAAGAAGCTGTCTTGCGAGTTTTGGAAGACGGCCTGACGAGGACAACGAAGCGCAGGACAATCTAGGGTTTAGAGTTTAGGGTTTAGGAAGGTGACAAGAACGCAAGGGTTTATTCTTTTTTATAATCAAAATTAGGGTTTAGCTGCCCCCACGTAGTCGCCATCAACAAACGCGTAATGAAATGCATCAGAGGGAGGAATTCTCTCTTCTGCCTGCGGCACGCTGCGGTGTATGTACAGCAGCAGACCTGCAGAACAAACCACCACCATAAAGCTTAAACCCTAAACCCTAAACCCTAAGGACGATACAACCTAGGGTGCAGATTCTTGCCAGGATAATAAGAAGCAATAAAGGAACAATCCGCGGGAATAGCGTAATTCATCTCCTCCTTATTTGCCTCGAACTCCTGAAAGCAGGAAACCCTAAGCCCTAAACCCTTATCATTTATGAGAACATCTCCGTGGCGCACTGCAAGGTGATGAGCTGAGCTGGCGGCTAGCGTTCACGGATTAGATTAGGGTTTAGGGTTTAGGGTTTAGCGTGCCTCTAAAAACCGCTCATGGGCTGCCTGGAGGAATTCTGTGCTTCCCACGTATTCGCACATTTCCTGTGGCGCCCCAACGCCAACCCTAAACCCCAAACCCTAAACCCTAAACCCTAAACCCTAGACTCCAAGCGGCACCGGCAGCAACTCGCCCCACAATTATCCACTCAATGCGCCAAGGGAGACATAAACTTAACTAACGCTTGTGTTAGGGTTTAGTGTTTAGCGATTAGGATTCAGGGTTTAGGGTTTAGGCGGAAGTTACTTTCAGCTCTTCTTCTTCTGGAGTAGTCAGAAAAGCCAGTCTGGGGTAGCAAAGGCATGCATTGTTGTGAGTCATAAACCCTAGACCCTAGACCCCAAACCCTCAAAGCCTAAACCCGGAGAGCTAGAGGAAACCCTAAACCCTAAACCCTCAAACCTATAGACGGACTCCGCTTGTTCCTTGCATTTGCTAAGGTCGAGTTGGCTCGCCAACAATCGTCCAACTGTACGAACGTACAAAGCCCTAAACCCTAAACCCTAAACCCTAAACCCTAGTACGGATCCTAACGTCGGGCCAGAAGCTTTCCAGCTAGCAGACAGCATTTGCAGGGTTTAATGTCTTATCCTGCAACAGCCAGTATATTTGATGCGCTTAGAACCGGCCTTCAAGTTTAGTGATTAGGGTTTAGGGTCTAGGGTTTTAGGTACCCTCACTAATACGCCCTTGCAACTCAAAAGTGCGGCGAACTGCTGATATTGCCGACAGCTGCGGGCGGCCCTTTAGAAGTGTACAAAGGCCATCAAATGCCCTGCCTGCTCCACAAACCCTAAACCCTAAACCCTAAACCTTAGCCGCACTCCCAGCAACACCCTACCTTGCCTGCATGCCGTGCAGGAGGACCCCCGGGATGGGCCTCACGGTGGGAATGAGAGGAAGCCCTTGGGGTTTACAGTTGAACTTCAGGGTTTAGGGTTTAGGGTTTAGGGTTTACAGAAGCTCAGGAGCTGCTTCACGTGGGGCCAGGTGAGGGGCGCGTGCTGACGTAGGGAGGAAACAACCCGCCAAATGTCCTATACAAGAAGGAGCGTTTTAAAACAAGGGGGAATTATGGTTTATAACCACTGCGTGTTACAAGCAGGGTTTAGGGTTTAAACTATTAGGGTTTAGGGTTTAGGCCCGATGCATGGTTTAGCTGTCACTGCTGGGGTTTTCAGGTACCTTTACACCCTTCAAACTCCTCGTAAAGTTGTCTGAGCACACAAACCCCGCCTAAATCCTAAACCCTAAAGCCTAATCTGCGCTAACACTAAACAACATCAATCCTAAACCCAAAACCCTAAACCCGTGGGGGCATACAGCAGGTAAGGGCGGGCAAGTGGGCCAGACAAATCGTCACTGCTTGCTGCCGAGCCTGCAACAGAGACAAACACATCTGAAACGAGGGTTTAGGGTTTAGGGCTTCCGCTTTTTATTGGCGATACGGTAGCCACCACAACACCTCCCACAATCCTAGGCTTAAGGAGTTTGGGTCTAGGGTTTAGGGTTTACGGTTTAGGGCCTAATGTCTAGAGGTCTTGCCTGTATTATGCGCTGGTCTGTTGTTGGCTGCAAGGCAAAACAGCAAACGCCTAAACCGTAAACCCTAAACCCTGAACATCGATACTCTAAAGAAACAAGCAGGTGGGAACAAGCAACATCAGAAGGAGCCGCAGCAGCAAAAACAACACAAGCAACTGCAACAGCAGTAGCAGAAGAAACAGCAGCAACACCAGCAGCAAAAGCAGCAGCAGCTGCATTAGCAGCAGTACCGAGAGGATCCAGGAGAGAAGCGTTCGTCGGCCAATCGATGTTTCTGCACCTCAAAAGCGTCATTCAAAATCTGGTTCCTTAAATCCTAAACCCTAAACCCTAAACCCTAATCTGTGCCGCCTTACGTGTCCACGAGCACCACTCATCGGCGAGCCAAACAGGTTGCCCCCTTTTGTCTGAAGGAAGGCAGCAGCACCACCAGACCTAAACCCTAAACCCTAAACCCTAAACCGTAAACACTGGACTTTAAGGGGCGTGATCACTCATGCAGCTCTCCTAAACAGTATCCCTTTAGGATTTAGGGTTTAGAGTTTATGGTTTATGGTTTAGTTTCTGCTCACCAGCGCAGCGAGACCCATTTTTTGGGGGCGCAGCAGGACGCCTGCAACACACCCACAAACAATAAACCCTAAACCCGCAGCCATACTAAGCCTTTAACCTAAAGAGAAGCCAGCTTGTGGAGGTTTCAGTCTGAATAATTTTGCGTTTATGGCAAAGGTTTAGGGTTTACGGCGAAGGGAATAACTTGGGGTCAAGCGTGTGACTTCATATAGGCACTGAAACCTAAACACTAATCCCTACACTGAAGCAGCAAGAGCCCGCAGTATAGCTTTAGGGTATAGGGTTTATGGTTTAGGGTTTAGGGTTTAGGAGTCTCGCGCTCTCTAGGGCTCTCTTCTTACCCCCATATTCCGAGACCTTTGAGGGTAAGTTCGTCGGTGCTGAGATTCTGCGCCGTCGCCAAACCTACACCTTAAACCCTAAACCCTAAGCCCTAAAACCATTATACTTATCTCCAAGTGCTCCCCGTTATGCTTGATCACTAGATTTCCACCTACCCTGATAAAACCCTAAACCCTAAACCCTAAACCCTAAACTATCAACCCACGGCTCCCAGCAGGGTTTCGGAGATCTCGGAGAGGTCTTGAAGAATGTGAGGGGCTTCTCTCTGCTCGCACAGCGGCAGAGGCAGCACGCGGTCCTGAAGTCCTAGTTAGGGTTTAGCGTTTTGGGTTTAGGGTTTAAGGTTTACATGGAGGTGAATCAAGAGGGCCCCCGTTGCGCTGCAAGCAACAGAAACAAAGGAAAACCCCTCTTGCTAGGTAGCGGAGAAACCCTGTAGTTCCTGGTTACAAGCAAAAGATATCCTGCTAAACCCTAAACCCTAAATCGTAAACCCTAAAACCTCAGCGATGTCTAAAACTCAAAGCCCTCGATAGCGCAATTCACCAGACCTCAATGCCTCCCCAGAAAGTCCATAGAGCTGCAGGAAAGAGAAAATGACACAACAAACAAATCCTAGGGCTTAGGGTTTACAGGTTAGTGTTTGGGGCTCATAGCAAAGGGAATAAAGCTTGGGGGAGGCGCACAGATTGGTTGGTGCCGCTGTTGCTGTTAGAGGCAAAACGGCCCATAATGCTGCGCAGCCAGTGGGTCCCTGAAGACACAAACACTAAACTCTAAACCCTAAACCCTAAACCCTAAACCCTTGAGCTTGATCCTAAACCCTAAAGCCGGCAAGATGGCTTGATAGCGTCTCAGACTATAGCGAGTTCATGGAGAGATGTTTGAAGCCCCTAAACCCTAAACCCTAAACCAACCTTTAGCTGGCGTGAATTCTTTGGTTGGCAGAAACCTCAAGGAGACACTTCCTTCAGAGTGTTTGTTCTCTTCTTTATCTTCCCCCTCCAGGGCTTCTTCTTGCTGCTTTGTCGTTAGGATCTCTTGCAGCAATCTGCAAGGGTTTAAAAGGGATAGTTTAGCTTAAGGAGGATAAAAGAGTGTCTCCTTAACCCTAAACCATAATTACGTTGTTGTGGTGAGGCCAACTGGGGAAAGATCAAGATTCGAGGGTTTAGGGTTTGGGTCGTAAGGTTTACTCTCTTTCTGCATGCGGCATATTGCTGGGCATCAGGATTGTCCATGCAGCGAAAGGGAATCCCTCAAGAAAGAGACTGGCGTCCATTTGGCGCTGTTTGTACACCCCAAAACCCTAACCCCCATGTCCTAAACCCTCACCCCTAACCCGGCGCGTGCCACTGTTGTTGCTTTGGCGGTTTTTGGTTTCTTTGCGTCTCTAAGGCTCGAAACGTAGGGTCTATGGTTTAGGGTTTACGGTATGCGGACAGCTGAGTCACCTTAAGAGACAGAAATGCTTCTGCAGCAGCAGCAGCAGGGGCCCCCCCACCGCTGCATAGGGGCCTCTGATACACCTGTAGCAAGCCGGGGGCCCCTGACGAGGCAACAGCAGCAGCAAGAGTACCCTTGCCTGCGAAGACAGAACAGCGGACTGTTGCTCCTAGCCTGGGGGGCCCCACACGTGCTGTCTCTTCTTGCTGCTGCTGCTGCTGCTCCGGCTTTTCCTGTTCCTGCTGCTGCTGCTGCTCTTGCTGTCTCCTATCTGAAGCAGGAACCCCTCCAAAGGACAGCAGCTGCCTTGGTGTACAATGGGGGCCCCCAGCAAAGGAACCACTGGTGCTTCGAGGAGGAGAGTGGGGGCCCCCTTTCGCTGCAGGGAGGGGGCCCACGGTCTCCCCTTCTAGGACACGTAGGAGACAACTGTCTCCTTGCGAAGGAGACACAGGGACAGAGACAACCTCAAAGACACGCAGCTGAGGGTCCCTGGTGGTGCCGCTGCTGCTGAGCTCGACCCGTTGTGGCTGCTGCTGCGGCTGCGTTTGCTGTTGCTGGTGCTGCTGTTGCTGCTGTTTCTGCTGCTGTTGCTGTTGTTTCTGCGTTTGCTGTTGCGTGTTCTGCTCTTGTTGCTGCTGCAGTTGCTGCTGCTGCTGCCCAGCCGCGTCCTCCACAGGAGGGTTTGCTGCCCAAGAAAGCCTTACGAGAGGTGATGTGTGCGGCCCCTCAACTGCAGTTACAACAGTACCTCTTTTATACCCGTTTGGATATCTTGAGGGGGCCTCTTGGGGCCCCCTGTGACAGCCGGTAGAGAGGCCCCTAAGTATAGGGGAGGGTACAACGTTGGGCTCCGCTGTGGTGCTTCTAATGCTGCTGCTGCTAATGCTGCTGCCGCCCATTCTGCTGCTGCAAACACTGCTGCTGCCAACACTGCTGTTGCCGCTGCTAATGCTACTGCTGTACATGTTTTTGCTGCTATTGGTGTGGCAGTGGTTGCTGCTTCTGGCGTCGCTGCAAAGGTGCCTGCAGCTAGAGAAATTACTGGTGCTGCCGCTGCTGCTTAGGCTGCTACTGCTGCTGCTGCAGTTATCTATATCGGAGATAAGGACAGGGAGAAAACTGCTGCAGCCCGCAGGTGAGAGGGCCCCCCGGGGCCCCCCGTGCATGCGGCCCTCGTCAGGAGACAAAGAGAAATTCAAATATCGTTGTTGCGGTCGCTTCTGCTGATGCTGCTGTTGCTGCTCCTGTTGCTGTTGCTGGCTGCGTAAGATCAGCCCGGCATGTGTCAGCTGCAGCCTAAGCTGCTTGTTGTCCTGCTGCTGCTGCTGCTGCTGTTGCTGCTGCTTTCGAGGCAGCAGAGATGAACCTGCTCGCCTTCGGTCCTGCTGTTTCAGCGGGTGAGGTCGGATAAGGTGTCTGTTGTTGCTGCTGCTGTCATTGCTGCTCTTGCTACTGTTGCTGCTGTTGCTGCTGTTGCTGCTGTTCCTGCTGCTGTGGCTGTTGCTGCTGTTATTCCTGTTACTGGTGTTGCTGTTGCTGCTGTTGGCACGTTTGTCGTTGCTGCACGTAGGTCTCCATTTCTGCACGCTTTGTTGCTGCTGCCTCTGCTGGTGCTGGTGCATGTGCAGCTGCTGCTGGGGTTGCTGCTCGCTGTCTCTGTATTGTTTTCCACGCGGTCCAACGAAGGGGACTGTCTGGTGCCTTATGTAGGGACCTGTCTCCTGCAGCAGGAGACACCTACTTGTGGTGCGCTGCCTCTTCTGCGGTCTCTCCACCAGCTGGCCCTCAGCAGCAGCAGCAAAAGAAAGTATCGAGCAGCTAGCGGTACCCGTATGGGGCCCTACTCTGTGTGGGGGCCCCCAGCTGGGGGGGCCCTCTGTTGGGGTTCCCCGGTCGGGGGGAACAAACGGTGAACCCTCCTGCAGCAAGAGTGATTCTTGTGTGGGGCAGCACATCATTGAAGAAGGAAGGAGAAATATAGGAGACACACACCTTCAGGAAGGTAGCGCGGATGCTGTTGCTGCAGCGCCGCTGCAGCGAATCAGCAGCAGCAGCAGTGGCTCCTGTAGGTCCTGCGGTGTTGCAGCTGCTGCAGCTAATGCAGCTGTTGCAGTTAATGCAGCTGCTGCAGCTAATGCAGCTGTTGCAGCTAATGCAGCTGTTGCAGCTAATGCAGCTGCTGCAGCTAATGCAGCTGTTGCAGCTAATGCAGCGGCTGCAGCTAATGGAAGAGGACTTCCTGTGGGGGCTTAAGACGTGAGCCCTTAAAAGAAGACAGTTTGTGGGGAGACAGAAAAGGAGACACTCAAAGGACAAACACTGTGGGGTTTCTGCTGCAGCAACACATGCGGAGACAGATCCAGCAACAGCTCCAACAGAAGCCCTAGCAGCAGCCCCCTTAGCTTGTGCAGCAGCAGGAACTGCCCCAGCACAGTTGACTTCCTGCTGCGGCAACACGTGCGGCAGCAACTCCAGCACCCGCTGGAGCAGTCGCAACTGCAGTAGCGGAGTCGGCTGCGCTGACAGGAGAACGTTGACTACAAAGACAGGGGAAATAAAAGATAAAATAATTTATACATATTGCAGATAAATATTATGTATAAATGTAAAATAAAAAAGAGGAAAAAGGGAGGCAAACGCTCATAATAAATTCCTGCTGCTGGAGCATAAACCAGACCAATGGTCCACAGCTACACAGCTGCCTACATACCACAGAGATTTTGCAGCCGTTTCTCTCATTTTTAAGAAACAATAAATACAGTGGGAAGAAAACGATTTATATTTTCTCTGTCTGACTTATTATGTATAAAAAACCGAGGAAAACGGACGTATCAAACCCGTGCTACAGCCACGAGTCTGCTGCAGCTGCAGCTGCAGCAGCAGTAACAGCAGCACATGTAGAAGCACCAGCAGCTACATAAAAAGAGCAGCAGCAACAGTAGCAACCCAAATAACAGCTACATAAATGCTGCAGCAACTGCAGCAACTCCAGAAACATCAAGTGCAGGTGCAGCAACACAATCTACACTAGAATCAACTAAACTAACCGTGTTGCAGCAGCAAAGCTGCGTTTGCTGCAGCAACCCTCGTGAAGGGACATAGCAGCAACACCTACACTTCCTGTATGCATGAGCGTATGTAGTGCGATTTATGCATGCATGAATATGCGCAAAAATTGGCCCTTTGGTGCACACACCTGCAACCTGTAGGCACTCCGTAGCTGCATGACCGAATGGGCTTGTTGAATGGATGTACAGTAACATCGTTGTAAAGGCGTAGGAAACAAGAGATCAAGGGGCATCCTTTTGTTTTTAATGAAGGACGGAGGGTTGTGGTGCACACGACCACTAAGCGGACTTAGTGGTGTGGAGGCTGCTAAAGTTAGATGAACGGAGGTTATTTCGAATCATGGTTGGTGTGAGGGTGTCATGAAGCATTCACCCTGAAGCATTCAGTCTTCAAGCGCGAGAGAGGAACAGATACCATTAACCCAGTGCGCGTCAAGGCATCCAACGACTGCAAGAATACGTAGGACTTTCAAATTTAGTGGAACAAGATGGGGTGAAAAGAAAGGTGAAGCATTCAGTCTTCAAGCGCGAGAGAGGAACAGATGCCATTAACCCACTGCGCGTGAAGGCATCCAACGACTGCAAGAATACGTAGGGCTTCCAAATTTAGTGGAACAGGATGGGGTGAGAAGCAAGGAAAAGGACCATGTGGGTTATTTCCAGCTTTTTGAGAACGAACGTAAGCACAATAAGTTCGTTGTAAAGGCGTAGGAAACAAGAGATCAAGGGGCATCATGTTGTGTTTGAAGAAGGAAGGAGGGTTTTGCTGCAACCGACCACTCAGCGGACCTAGCGGTGTGGAGGCTGCTGAAGGTAGATGAACGGAGGTTAGTTCGCATCATGGCTGGTGTGAGGGGTCACCTTTGAGCCGGGGTATTGTTGTGTGAGGAGAATGATGTGTGATGGCATGTCGTGTTTGGAGACGTTTGGGTTGAAGAAGTGAGGCGTTCAAGGTCTCTGATGGGACGTCAAGCGTCTCTTGTCTGGCGCGTCGCGTCTCTTCGCATCATGGTTGGTGTGAGGGGTCACCTTTGAGCCGGGGTATTGTCGTGTGAGGAGAGTGATGTGTGATTGCATGTTGTGTTTGGCGCGTTGATTGGAGACGTTTGGGTTGAAGAAGTGAGGCGTTGAAGGTCTCTGATGGGACGTCAAGCGTCTCTTGTCTGGCGCGTCGCGTCTCTTTTCGTTTCGAGGACAGTTGACCTTGTGGTCGTGGATACTTCACCTGTGCGACGGGGAAGTCTGTTGATTGCAAGGATT